AAGGTTCAAGGGTTTTTTATGTTAGTCCAGAGATCCATAGAAATTTCATGTTAGTCCAGAGAAATTTGAATGTTAGTCCAGAGAAATTCATCCAGAGAAATTTGAATGTTCAAGGTCTTGAACCTAGAAAAATTCCAAGGATTGCTTTGTATGTTGAATTCATTATGAATATAGACATAAATATGGTTATTGGATCAAGTCCCTTTTTGTAGTATAAGAATAATGTTGGATCAAATCATTGAAGCCATCAAATGCAGACAACACAAGTTAATTTCTCTGGTTGAAGGAGATTTTCATTAGGGTTGAGTAAATTTTTCTGGAATGGAGAGGAAAATTTCTCTGAGTTGAATCCAGAGAAATTCTCCAATGAGATTTTCTCTATTATGTGTCCAGAGAAATTTAGAATTTTCTCTCTACTTTGTCCAGAGAAATTCTCTGGATTGAATTTTCTCTGGATCAATGTTAAGGGACTTTAGACATTATGAAAATATTGAGTATCTTTTATATTATAAAATCTTAATACTAGAGACCTTAAAAAAAATTCCCCTTAAAAAAACTACTGATTTTAATATTTTCAAAATGAGCCTAAAATCTTAAGGAATATACCAATCTAACGGCATTTAATATGAGCACGTGTATTATTAACAAGTGCCAAGTGGTGCTTCACTATCAAAACCAGTTGACCAAGGCTCACCCATAGGATTCAAAATTGTGGAGAATATGAATTTAATACATTACTCAACTTTTAAAAAAAAATTAATAATAATAAAAAAGAGGCAAAAGTCTTCCCATCCCCAATTCACCCACCAAAAATGATGTTGTTTCCAAATACTTTCATATTAGGATTAGCTTCTCATGTTTATATCTCAACATGAGAAAATAGAAAAGATTAGTAAGATAAGTCTTATTTTAATAATTTAAATTGTTCATTTTGTAAGATATTCAATGTATAAATTTTTGAGAGGAAAAAAAAATTACTTCAATCCGACAATCATAACATTTTTATTTAGTCGTATTTGTCTCCAAAAAAAATAAATGATCTATTTTCATAAATATATTTACCATCCATTTTCTTATAGATAAATGCGATAAGATAAAAGAGTAATAATTATTGGATCGCATTTATTTTTTTTATGAATGAAACACATTTAGTGCCTTATAAAATGAACGGTTCGGATTATCAAAACAAGACGCGTGATGGGCTCGACAAGCAGTGGTGGAGTCAGGATTTTGACTTAGAAGGAGTACCATTGAATTAAAATCTTAACAAAAATCACAATCCAACTTAATATTTATTTGTTAGTAAGACTTAAAATTAATACGATTGCAAAGGTATATTTAAATATAAGTTCAAGTTAACTGATCATTATCTGTATTATTATTGATTTGATTTTATGTATGGTGATTATCACGGTTTAAAAAATAATCATATACCTTCACAACATATGAGAGCAAAATTATATTAAGATACGCACACAAAAAAAAATAAGGTGAATTACACTAATAGTCCCTATAGTTTAGGACTTATGTCATTTTAGTCCCTGACTTTTCAATTGTGACACATTTGACTCTGAATTTTGAATATTGTTTCAATTAAGGACAATTGAAGATATCATCAGAATTTCCAAGGGTAAAATTGTCAATTTGATAAAATATAAACTAATTTGACAAAAATAAATGTCAAAAAAATATTTTTGAATTTTTAAAAATTATTTCTACCCACTAAAGATAAAATTATGTAAAATTGATAAATCTTTTAAATATTTATTTATTTTTTTACCAAATAATTTTTAGGCCAAGTTTGGCAACTTGCAAAAAAGCTAAAAAGTCAAAAAGTTACTCAAAAAGTTAAAGAGTTATCACTATTTTCCAAAAGTCAAAAATTACGGCTGTACAACTCCCAATCCTAATTTTTCCCTAGTCAAAAAGCCAAAAAGTTAAAAAGTTATTACTATTCACCAAAAGTCAAAAAATACGGCTGCACAACTCTCAATCCTAATTTTCCCCTACACACTAATTTATTCAATTTTTTAATACACACTTTTCCATAAAAAGTCAAAAAGTTAACCCAAACATCCATATTTTTTTTCTCAATTTTTTAGTCTAAAAAGACAAAAAGTACACTTATTTAGGACACCTCAAACAACCCCTTAATATGTGTTTGGATGATGATCATGTAAAATTAATTTTTAAAAATTAATCGTGTAATTTTTATTGATTTTGATCAGTTTTACATAATTTTATCTTTAGTGGATAGAAATAATTTTTAAAAAATTAAAAATATTCTTTTGACATTTATTTTTGTCAAATTAGTTTATCTTTTATTAAATTGACGATTTTGCCCTTGAAATTAAATAATGGTATCTTCAATTGTCCTTATTTGGAACAAGATTCAAAATTCAGGGTCAAATGTATCACAATTAAAAAGTTAGAAACTAAAGTGATACAAGCCCCAAACTATAGGGACTATTAGTGTAATTTGTCCAAAGAAATATAGAGGGGGATAGAGAAAGAAAAGAGAGGAAGGTGAATAAATAATACACAAGGCCTATTATATATCACTTGTTTTTTTCTCCATTTTGAATGACTAAATTAAATGACAATATATTATTAGTTGTTATTAATTGTGTATACGTAAATAAATGAACCAATTACAAGTATTTTTATAAGATGTGATATAACAAAACATTGGTGACATATAACATTTCTCTAATTTAAAATTTATAAGAATATTTTTTAGCATAATTAAATATTTAGAGTGACAAACTAAACAGATTTTTTTTAAAAGAAAATAGTGATATAAAATTTTAAGAAATTACTTTGCCTCTGTTTGGCAAGTGAGGTTGGAGGCTTTTTTGGCTATTTTAGCCACAAAAAACAAAATAGGCTATTTTAGCCATAACAAACAAAACATCACATCCAACCCATAATCATAAAGGTATAAGTATAATTTTTCAAAAGTTGAGGGGGGGCATGTGACCCCAGGCCTCACATGCCTCTGCCCCTATTCGCAGGCCTCTCAAATTTCTTATGTTAAGATGTGAACATAAACTCAACCCTTATTTTTATATATCAATCAATATATCTCAATAGTAATACTTGAATTCAATTAGTATTATTTATAAATTAGTTCTTATAATTATTAATTCGAAAATTAAAAATAATTGTAAATCTTATTAGTACATTTTTTTTGATAATTTATGAAAATTAAATTTGTATAGTTAAATAAACTATCAAACAATTATTTTATTATGTAAAATATTCAAAGTAAACTCAAAAGTCTTTTTATACTAGAAGTAAGACAAAAATAAATAAATTAAATAAATGAGGCACTGTTCTCTTTATGCATTTACAGATTTCAAATAAATTAAAGAACAATAACAAATTGTAATTAAGAAAATTTCACTTAGGGATGAATATGGATCGAATTAGTTCGATTTAGAAGTAAATTAAGACTAAAGGGTTGTTTGGGGTATTCTAAATAAGTATATTTTTTGTCTTTTTAGACTAAAAAATTGAGAAAAAAAATATGGATGTTTGGGTTAATTTTTTGACTTTTTATGAAAAAATGTGTATTAAAAAATTGAATAAATTAGTGTGTAGGGGAAAATTAGGATTGAGAGTTGTGCGGCCGTAATTTTTGACTTTTAGTAAATAGTGATAACTTTTTAACTTTTTAAGTAATTTTTTAACTTTTTAATTTTTTTATAAGTTGCCAAACTTGACCTAAATCATAACTCATAGTATCATGAAATTTGAAATCAAATTGAACCATGAAAATTTGGAATTGAATCAAGCCAAACCACTAAAATACAGTTTGATACTGTTTAGAACAATAATTTTTAGGAGTTTTCTTAAGTGTGCACGTGCACACCATGTGCCACTTACACAAAAAGTGTAAGTGTAAGGTGTAAGTATAAGTATAAGGTGTAAGTGTAAGGTGTAAGGTGTAAGTGGGTTGCACATGGTGTGCAACCTCAAAAAAGGTGTAAGTGTAAGGTTTAATTTTTTACAAAAGGTGTAAGTGTAAGGTGTAAGTGTAAGGATTAGTGGTGATGTTTTTAGTGGGATGAATCATTGTTACTCGTACATATTCTCAATATATGCAAACTCACTTTTTATATCAATTTTTTAAATTTAATAATGTGTGAGTGAAATGATTGATTGATAATTTTTGGGTTAGAATTTTACTTTAATCCTCTTCATTCTATATATTTAATGGAGGGTTTCTATTACATATCTAATGGCTACGAAATAGGAATGCAAATTTATAATTAATTTAAATTTTAAAAAAATCATTACACTCACCGTTAGATGTTGAAATGGAACATCTCCATTATAAATATGGAATGGAGAAGATCACAATCCGAATTTTACTGATTAGTCTCCTAATACTATTGAGCAATGATTCATAGCTCTAAATTTGAAGCTCTAACAATGGCACTAATAATGTGGCATGAAGCGGGAAAAAAAAAAAAAGACACATACATCAAATCATTCATAAAATGGAACCCACTGCCACATAAGAAGAGCTCTACTTTTAGTACTCTTAAACATTTTTGATTACACCAATTACTAATTGGATAGGGCTTCTCTCATGTTAGGATCTCAACATGATAGAACTTGAGGGATGTGTGAATCCCATCATAGGTCTCATTTTGATAATCCGAATCATTCACTTTCTAGTACTCATTAAGTTAAATATTCATGCAAAAAATAAGATGATCGAATAATAGTATCTATATTTTTTAATCAAATTTATATTTCAAAAAATGAATAGTTACTCTTAAAATTATATTTGTCGTCCATTTTTTTAAAACAAATATCATTCAAATATATATAGTTGCCAATGCACAATCATTTTGATTTTTGACATGAATAATATATTCTATAAATTTTTTAAAAAATAAACAGTTTAAATCATTAAAATTAATTTCAAAATAGGCCTACTACGCCTAAACGCTTCCTCAAAAGCGAAACCTTAACTAATTATCCTAATACTACTATTTAAAACTTTGCCATCTCTGTCTCTTGGTCGCATTTTGATTCAGACATTTTGTCTCATAGCTTATCTCCTCATTCCCTATTATTTTGTAGTAACAATTCATCAACTAAACAAATAACAGAGATTTGTTTTGCTTGGGAAATCAATACAAGTCACATGAAGAATTCGATCAACCTCAACTGCAACAAAAAATCCTGGTTTGGTTTCGTTTTCTGCTTCATTTTATGGTTTCTGTTGCTTTGTTTCGTCTGTTCAGCTTCATTTTCAGGCAACAAAAACAACAATAGGCTCACCTTCATTGCCAACTATGCAAATTCATTCATCTTTCAAGACTCCACATCTCATTCTATCTCCGAGAATGAGGAAAACAGAGTTGCTGATAGCAAGGATGGAGTTAAACAGGTTGAGAACACAACTCAACTGGTCTCCAAACATGTTTTGGATTCATGCTCAGGTCGATATATCTATGTTCATGATCTTCCTAGCAGATTCAACACAGACATTCTAAAGAATTGTTCATCACTAATCAAATGGTTTGATATTTGCAAGTACATATCAAACATGGGTCTCGGTCCTCGTGCTGCGGATTTTCATGGGATTTTCCAAAACAATATCAGTTGGTTTGAAACAAACCAGTTTTTATTGGAAGTGATTTTCCACAACAGAATGAACAACTACAAATGCTTAACCAACAATTCATCTTTGGCTTCAATCATTTATGTACCATTCTACGCTGGCCTTGACATCGGTCGATACCTTTGGGGTTTCAATACTTCAATAAGAGATTCAGCACCCATTGAATTAGCCAAATGGGTTTCTGAGAAGCCTGAGTGGAAATCTATGGGTGGAAGAGATCATTTCTTTGTTGTAGGAAGGGTTACTTGGGATTTTAGGAGACAAACCGACAACGATTCCGATTGGGGAAACAAACTCATGTCACTACCCGAATCCAAAAACATGACGATTTTGATAATTGAATCATTTTCTCAAGCCGAAACCAATAGAGATTTTGCGATTCCATATCCAACTTATTTCCATCCATCTAGCGATGACGAGGTGTTTCAATGGCAGAACAAATTAAGGAAATTGAAAAGGCAATACTTGTTCTCTTTCGCGGGTGCTCCAAGACCCAACAATGAACATTCTATCCGGAGTCAGATTATTAAGCAGTGCCTTGATTCTGGAAAAAAATGCAAGTTTTTGAATTGTGCTTCGGGCGAAAACAAGTGTGATAACCCAACTTATGTGATAGAAATCTTTCAAAGATCCAAGTTTTGTTTGCAGCCTTCCGGTGATACGTCTACTAGGCGATCAACGTTTGATTCGATCTTGGCAGGGTGCATTCCAGTTTTCTTTGATTCTAGATCCGCATACCAGCAATATATATGGCATTTACCCAAGAATTATTCAAAATATTCTGTGTTCATACCAGAGGATGAGATTAAAGATGGGAAAGTGAATATTGGGGAGACTTTGAGTCGGATATCGGAAGAAGAAGTGGCGGAGATGAGGGAGGAGATTGTGACGCTGATTCCTAGAATCATATATGCAAATCCAATGTCAAGATTGGAGACACTTGAAGATGCATTTGATATAGCAATTGAGGGAGTTCTTGAGAGAGTAGAGAAAATTAGGAAAGAGATGGAGGGAGGGAAGAGTACTGAATTTTGAATTTGCTGCTGAGAATGGTTCGAGGCATTATTTGATCGGCACATAAAAAATCAAATACAGAATCGGACCCAAACAAATATGAATTGTTTCTTACAGGATTTTTTGGTTAGGAGAGAGATTGTATTTGGTTATTGTTTTGAAATGGGTTTTTTTGTATATTCCTGATTATGTGTACTTTAGCTTCTTTGTCTTTTTGGATTTGAAATGGGATAAGCAACTTGATTGTATTTGATTCTTCATTATTCTTGTACTATTTGAGGAAAACCAAAAAAAAAATATTCAGCTTCTATTATATTTATATGAAAAAATCTTAACAACACAATTTCCTTAAGAACCAAACATAAATGTCAAACTATGAAAAGGGATTTACATATGGACCCAGAGATGTGAATCTCATTTTTTTCTTCTTTCTTTTTTTTTTTAAAAAAAATTTTGTGAAAATTTTCTATACCACAGGTGATTTCAATGTCTACATTGGTTGTTTTGCTTTGACAATTCTAAAATTCTTGAAAGCGAAGGCAATTGGTAGTCTATGAGCAATACCCTCCACGCGAACTTCAAATCCGGAATTCAAAGCCATCAAATTGGAAAGAATAAAATTCAATGAAGACAATTGGTGTCTTAGTCTTTTTAATGTGTCTGTTAGGTTTTTATTCTTGGCAACCCCGTTTGACAAAACTCCTTTCAGATGTATTTATTTTAGCACTTTTATTTCAGTGAGGCTATGAGTTTATTAGATGCGAATCCAAACCCGAATCGAACCATGCAGAGAAGTTTGTGATGTTAATGCTTTCAAGATTGCCACTTCGCTGATTATTACGGGGGTCAGCTCGCGGCTGAAGCAAAATGCAAAATTGCATTCAAAATTGCATGTCCGTCGTTGCTCGCTCGAGCCAAGGAGTTCTCGCTCGAGCTAGGGCTTGCTCGCTCGAGCCAAGGAATGCGCGCTCGAGCCAAGGATTGCGTCCATACAAAAACCTGAAAAAGTGTATTCCTCGCTCGAGCCAAGGATCCGTCGCTCGAGCCAAGGCACTAGTAGATTCCTTTTCTATTCAACTTGCTCGAGCGGAGATCGCGGGACAGATTGTATAAATTCGCGTGTTGGGTCAGATTTTAGGATAACTGCTCCAGATCTTCTTCTTGGTTTCTAGGGTTTATATCTGGGAATACTTTGTGAGTTTTCTTTGATGTTTTTATTGAGTATTCAACTCATGGTTTAAAAAGAGTACATCAAAGGTTGTGTTTTGTTCTACAAAAGAGAGAGTTATTCTTCAGTTGTGGATTCTGAAGAATTCGTGCCTGAAGCTTTGGTGGAATCCGGAGTGGCTCATCAGAAAGACAATTCTGTGGTGAAGATGGGGTTGGAAGAGGCACATAGAGGTTGGTTCAATTAGGCGTTGTGGATTCGCTAGGTAATTGAGAGTATACCTGTGTAATTCCTTTAAATCTTCTTAGTGGATTGTTCTTGTGGCTGTTGCCCGTGGTTTTTTGATCACAGTTGGAGGTGTCCAATTGTGGTTTTTTCCACGTTAAATAGTTGTGTCTTTTTGTCTTGATTGTTTGATTGGGATTGTTATATTCTACTTAAAATTTATACATAATCACAAATCAACATCTAGGGGATTTCTAGATTTTTTCAGTGTCAAAAAACAAAACTTGCACAAAATAAAATTCTACCAGTAATAAATAAATTTTTAAGATTCTCTCACTTATTTATAATTTTTCCTAGTTTATTGTCTTAGAAGATTCTACCTTTTCGCCTTTTCTATGTGCTTGAAGAAACTTTCATCATTTGTTAGTTATAAATGATGTTTCCTTAAGCGGGTAGGTAAATCTTAAAAAACCATATATGCACCTGTAAAGTACATAAATTAAAGTGTCGTTTATCTAGGTGAAATTTATTTATATATTTTTTTGATGTTTGGTATAATAAAAAATGAATGTTAATCAAAAATATTTTTCATGGTCAATAGAAAACAAATCTATGTGGGCAGGAAATGTTTTCACTTTTAAGAGACGAAAAACATTTTGTAGACTAAAATCTTACCAATATCATCACACTACTACCGCCACGCTCACCTCCACCATCACACTATTATCAACCACGGCCACTGCCACCATCACCGTCGCTATTACCGTTGCCGCCACCCCACCTCTACCTCCACCTTCGTTTCAACACTACCACTATCAAATATAGAAAAATGTTTTCTCAAGAAAACATTTTCTAGAAAAAAAAAATTCTTAAAAAAAATTTACATTTGAAATTTTTTTCGTCCAAACAAACAAAGCTTAAGATTGTATTAGGACTTCATTAGCTCTCAATGATGTATAAAATATTTCATTTTCAGGCCATTTGTTTCACATTCATTTTTACTTCTTATAGTTGGTCATTGTGCTTATCAGGTGTCACTCCTCAGGACAAAGTTTGTTAGTGTCCTGTTAGTGTCACACACGTTTATCACCTATTTTGTAAAGCCCATCTTGTTAGGATTAGCTTACACATGTGATAAATGTGGATTCTTGTAGACGTCCCCGAACGCCCCGAGAGGATGAGTCCCGTTCTGTTCGTATTGGGCTCACTACAGTTCAGGACCCTTAAATTGTCACGGTTCTTGATCTGAACCAAAGAGTCCAAATCCGGCAAATCATTTTGAAAAACAGCTTTTTAGAAAAGAAGTGTCAAACATGGACTGCTTTGCCAAATACAGAGTCGCCACCTAAATATTTTATTTTGGGAAATTTAGGAAATCCTAACTCAGTGCCAAAGGCCATGTGTCCGTCATTACCAAAGTTACCTCGGCTCGGGAACTTGGGTAGGATTAGGGAAGGTCAGCTATGAGCACCCCCTCTCGCCCGATCCGAAGATCGGCCTCTACTAACCATGATATCTCGTTTTTGAAAACACATGCGTTCTTATTCCAGTTTATTGGCCTAGAATTACTATGTGATGCGCACAGCAAAACAAGTATAGACTAGATCGCCTAATTTGGAACAAAGCATTGCATATCCGTTCGTTTTGGAAATGGTTTGAGGTTTGCTACTCGCGAGTAGGCTAAAACACGGATTTCAACGAGTTATTCCAACTCAAACAATCCAACCTTCACCCACAAGCATTCAGGCAGTTTATATCACATAAGCATTTAGCAACATGGTAAGCATGCTGTCATGTTAACATTCACACTCATGCGAGATGCTAAAGCATAAATACTTACAGCGTACTCCGAGCCAACACAATGAACTAGTTAGTAATCATATGCGTGATCCTAATTCATGTTAAGTGGCTAATGCAACGCATGCAGAGTGTCACTAGAATAGGCTCGGCTAATCCTAGGATGGCATGTGGGATGCAACAAGTAGTACGTATTCAAGTTAGATTTGGAATATTATGCTGTTAGTATGATGCGCCAAGCCCGGTGCATGCAATACTGATGAATGATGCACGCATGCATAGCATAAGGTATGCTAAATTAAACATGCCCTAATACTAACCATCAAAAGTAGGTAAGTAAAAGAGAGATAGAAGTGGGGGTTAGAAGACATGCACACACGCACCCACACTTATTACAAATTTGCCCTCGCTCGGAGGGACCGAAAGAATAATACAATCCGAATAATGAATTACCTATCATGGCTAATTAATTATTACAGACCCTCTAATTTAACAAATTAAATGCAGAATAGAGATGGCCGCAGCCCTGCCTCAGGATACGCGGATGATGCATGCTCGATCCATCTTGCCCGGAAACCCGTACCATGCCATTGCTGCCTCTGTTAATGCTGCCCTGCTCCTCTGAAAATCGCCAAATTATCCTCCTCTGAAAACTGTACAAGTCCCAGGGTTGCTTCTCTGAGTGCTGTGGAACACCACCGGCTAATGGAATTGGTCACCGGCCAAAGGGAATGATCACCAGCCACTTGTTCAAGATATCGGCCATTGATGGATGGCTGGTCGGCACTGGAGATGGCCGGCCGGCCAAAGCTTCCTGCGGAATCTGTTTTTGACAGCAGCAGAGGGCAAAGCATAGCATGGCAATGCATTTCAAGCAATGTATGCACCAACCACACTCCTTATCATATTCATGACTCAAAGGAGGATGGGTCTCGATTCTCGGACCACCAATCGCGCATTTCAATGCGTGATGGCCCAAGAAACCAAGTATGCATTTTGATATGGAATGCAATGCACATAATCAAACAAAGGGGCTCGACCTCTATCATACTCAACTCAAGAGGTGAAGCATGCATGCAAATGGAATGCAACCTAGACATGGAGGCTAAGTATGCAAAATGAGCACGCAAGGCATGTGACAACTATGCTAGTGGCAAAAATGCAACAACATGTAAAGTGGACTAAGCATAGGAACAATGCAAAGCAACTTAACCAATGAAATACATGCCAAATGCATCATGATTTCAAGCAAGCAACAACATGTAATAGGCCAAGTATGCAACAATGCACGAGGCAAGCATGCTATAACACATGAAGGATGGACTTAAACTAATTTAGGCAGCCCTCAAACAAGCCTAAAACAGTGGCCATAAACTATGGAGATGGGACCAAATGCACATTCAAGCATGCATGCATACATGATCCACTTCCTAAGCATCAAAAGGCAACTTTTAAGTACACTTAAAAGAGATGATCATGGACAATTAGCATGCAATGTAAGCTCTGAAAATCATGAAAGAGAGGTGCCAAACCAAATAATCAAAACAAGCAAAGCATGCAATAATGGTCCAAGCACTTAAGGCAAGCCAAGGAGGCTTAAACCATGGCTAAGTCAACCAAGCTTCACAAGGCTAAGAGGGCTTAAAATAGGTCCAAGGCAGACCTAAACAATGCTAAGGGTGTACCTAGATGGCATCTAAGTGGCCTAAACATGCATGTGTACACAAGGGCCTAAGCAAGGGGCATAAGACAACAACCTTATAAAGCATTAAAGGGGCATCAAATGCGAGCATACAAGCATGCTATGAGGATTGAAATGATGCTCTAAGTGGTGCCAAACCATTGGAACAAGGCAAGTAAAGCATGCCACATACTCATATACGTAAGGCTAACAAGCCAAAATGCAAAGAAACTATGCAAAATATGTTAAGCGTGACCAAAGCAACTGAAAACAGAGCTAAAGCACACTGAAACATACACAAAAGCTCCACAAAGCTTGGCCAAAATCATGCTAGAACAAGGGTCAACACCTAAAGCATGTTAAGGCCTAAACATGGCATAACAAGACATGTATGCAAGGCATGCAAGATGTGTCTAAACCAAGGAA